TATCTATCTATCTATCTATCTATCTATCTATCTATCTATCTATCTATCTATCTATCTATCATCTTTCTGCAGTTTCTTTGTTTCTGCATCTTTCTGGGGTTTCAACTCCTAGCCTCATATTTGCTAGGCACATTTGCTAGGCAGGCATTCTACCATGGTTATCTTTGAGATAGGGTCTCTTCCTGCCTGGAGAGTGTTCATGGATGACAATATACCGACGTAAGGCTTGCCATCCTAGCTGGGATGACAGGCATATATGACCAGCTCTACTGCTTCGATGGAGTTAGAGTCTTGTGGCCTTTTCTGCTGAGGCTGACTTGGAAGTGTACTCTTTTGCCTCTCAGCTTCCTAGGTAGCCAGGATGACAAGTGTGAGCCTCTGGTATTGGCTTCTTCCACCTCTCGACAAAGGTGCAGCCCGCCCTGAGCTGAGAAGCAGACTCCTGAATCACTGACATCCTCAGGCCCATCCTCAGCAGGCTCTCTCCCATTTAGCCCTGGAAAGTATCTCCTAATTCAGACTGGAGGACACTTCAAGGATGGGCTTGATGCCAGAGAGGGATGAAGTCCCTGGGCTCCCTATTAATTGCAAACCAGTATTCCCAGAAAGAGGCCTCTCCTCTAGTTTACACTCCTCTCCTCTTCCTTCTCAGCTTCCCTCCTGCTCCCTAGCAGAGACGTAGAATGGGAACAAGGACTGTGTAGTTCCGGGTCCCATTTCTTGCTGTGTTGCTGTTTTTTATGGTCTTGGGCGGGACAGTTCCCATTAGGGAAAGGCCCTGTGGAAAATGAGGGGTTTCAGCTTGTTCAGTGGTTCGTACCAGCATGACCACAAATGTCTTCTCTTATTTTCCCTTCCCTTTTGGACATCAATCATGTTGTAAGCAGCAGTGGGACTGGGTCTTGGTTGTTGTTGGTGTGGCCGCTACAGGGTTGATGCTAGAGTAAGATGGCGGGTAGAGATTCAGGGATGTTCTGACAGGGGTCCATGCCCACAAGGAACCCACCCAGGTCTGGGCAAGGCAAACATGGGGGTGGATACAAGGAATACCAGCAGGAACAAGGGCTTAATGGGGCAGGCACAAGGGATGGCGTGGGAGCCCTTGGGAAAACCGGAGAGGAGGACCTCATGCTGACTCTAGAGGACCAACCGGAGGGTGGCACCAGGGGACACTTGGACAGCCTTGTACCTGGGCCGGGGGACGGTTGTGAGAAGAAGGGATGTGTGAACATTGTCAAGGCTGAGGTGGTCAAGGCTGAGATTCAGGTCCAGGCAGACACTTGGACCTGGAAATCACTGGAAAGCCACAGCATGAGGGCCGGCGGCAATGTGGGGCGTCAGTCACATCTCACACCTATTTACTCCATATATGGATGGGTTTAGAGGTTGGCGTCAGGATTTGTTGTTCTACCGGGCTGTTCCTGGAGGGGGGAGAAGGGAATTAGGCCCGGGCACTGGGTGAAGGGGTGACGTCCCAGGTAGGAGATGTCCACGTGGAACTTTGGAATGTAATGTTACTTGAAATAAGGACCTTTGCAGATGACACTAAGAAAGAGATCTTGAAATATGACCCCCCCCCCCGGGTTCAAACGGGCCTTAAATCCAATGACAGGCATCCTTATTATACAAGGGAGACTGGGCCAGAGGCAACGTGACCATTTTCCCTACTCGCAGCTTCCTGGGTGCCCACCACAAAGGGTGGGCTATGGGGTCACTCAGACCTGGCGTCTGGTCTCTGCGAGGTCATCATCCAGCTGTGACACAAGCCGCGTGCCTCCTCTCCAACATGCCATCTTCATCTCTTGCTGAAACCCCTGTCTGTGGCTATGACAGGAAGTAGAGCCTCCAGACCGTGTGGCCTAATGGGAGGAAGTTAGGTCATTGGACTGGACCAAGTGACGTGACGTCACTCGCTGACTAGGTCCAAGCCTCCTGCCATGCTGATGAAGGAGCTGGATTCTGATGGTGATGGTGTTGTGAAGTCACTTGGCCAATCATCAACTGTCACCCCCCTTCCTTAGGAGATATACAGCAAGGCCCAATCATTCAACACTGGGCACCAGGACAGAGGAAAGAGGGAAGAAACAGAGTCAGGGGCCAACTGCAGTCCAAGATGGTAGGAAACCTGAACGTTCTAGGAAGGTGGTAGGCTCAAGAGGGGACGCAGGATGGGCAAGGGTGCAGATAGGGTGGTGAGAAGATTCCAGTCACATCTTCTTAACCACGGTGCAGTTAAGGGCCGCGTCTCTTACTGCTATCCTTGCCACGAGTCAGTGATTAGAATACCTTGGCTTCAGATGTGGAAACTGAGGCACAGAGAACGGGAGAAGCTTTCCCTGGGGCATGCGGTCAGTCAAAGGTGAGGTGGAGCTCCTGTTCTAGAAGACCCTGTTTATCTATCCTTTTCTGTGGCTGCTACCCAGAGGTGAGGCTGGGGTGGGCAGGCCAGCCCAAAGAATGAGGAAGAGAGAGAGAGAGAGAGAGATAGACAGACAGAGACAGAGACACAGAGACACAGAGACACAGAGAGACAGAGAGGAGACTGTGAGAAATCTCACTCACAAACTTGTCTTTTTAAAAATCACTCCAGTGACCAGTTTAGAGATTGGACTTGTGGGTTGCAAGGGTTCCAGTCTAACATAAAGCCAGGGACTTCCCTCTTGGGAAGTATAGACTCCAGAGCCCTTTAGTTTGCAGTGTGATGGCCACACAGTGACATGGCTATAGGAGCTGAGGACAGGATGGCCCAATGGAGGGACATTTGAGCCTGGGGTGGCCACAGCTGGAGCGGCAGCCCCAAGTCTGTAGCTGGAGGGAGCAAGAGCTGGTGGCCCTACCCCTTCGGTCCCACCTCTTCCTAGAGCCTCCTCCATGGGTGTCCAGCCTCCTGGCTGCATGCCTGTAGATCCGCCATCACTCGCAGCATGAGTGCAGACTGGACAAAGAGCGCAGGCAGCATGGTGGAGGGGTGCTCCATGTAGAAAAATGCTCCTCCCAGTCAGATGGAGGAGGGGTGAGCAGGCCCAGGGCTCCCCCCAGTCAGATGGAGGAAGGGTGAACAGGCCCAGTCACAGCCCTTGGCCCCGAGGTCAGGCTGGCTGGAAGCCTTTGCTGCGTTTGTTCTTGGAGTCCTTGGAAAGTGACACCCTTGCTGCTCAGGAATAACTGGGAAACCACAACACGTGACCAGATGCAGGGTGGGGTGGCACGGGCATCTTTAGAAGACCTCTACCCCTGTGGTGGCCGCTCGGATGGAGAAGGCCCAGCACTCCACGCTGCCCCCTTGGGCCCCCTTGGCTCTTAGGCATTACCATCCAAGGAGACCGTGGCACTCTCTCCAGTTCCTGTTGAAACACAGAAAACCCTCGCTCTGTGCCGGGCTTGGTCTCTCTGTGGGTGGCAGAGGCAGCTGAGCCCCCAGGAATGGAGCACCCCACCTGCACCGGGCGCTGGGGCCTTGGACTTTTGGGGGGAGCGGGGTGTCAGGTCTTGGGCTTTATTAGAAAGGGCTGGGGGATGGGGCGTGGAAGCTCTTGGGAGCGCAGGGACCTGTGGAGTTGGGGGTTTTGCAAAGGGTGGACTCTAGGGTGCCAGAGACACCCTGATGTGGGGTGGGGTGGGAAGGGGTGGGGCCAACTGATCTCATCGGAGAGGCCTGGGACACTGAGAGCTGGCTACCAGGGAGCCCTGGCTAAAGAAGATGCAGGGTTCAGGCCCAAGAATCGCCAGGGTGTCCCGGACAGGAATGAGTAAGGCACGGGGCCTGACTTTGAACCCCTGGCTCGGCAGTGCTTTTCTGCAAGGAAGGACTCAGTCTTACCCCGGCAGCACTGCTGCTTGGGAATGAACTGGTGGGTCTTTGCTTTCAGCAGCAGCATCAGATCTACCCCCTTCTCCTCCACCCGACCCCCATAGCCCATCTCTAAATAGAGAGGCCCCCAGAGCTGTGGCCATTTGATGTATCATTCAATACACCTTCAAGCACGTGGCACGCAGACCTGATACATTTTCACCTTTTAACAAAATAAATGACTCAATTAACAAGATGAAAAACGGCAGTGTGGTGGCGGCTCACTTGGTGGCCAGAAAAAAAAAAAAAAGGTTGGAGAAGAATTATCCCAGCAGGGAGTTAATGCGGGCAGAGGCCTGGGCTCAGTGGGCACCGTTGCCTGCCAGGCTGCCGGCTGTCAGCCGGGTGGATGGGCCTGCTGACCACTGCTGGGGGGGTCTCCTCCCACATTCTGGGCTGGGGTCCAGCCAGAGTGGCAGGGCCCAGGAGCCTTTTGCCAGCACAGAAAGCTCTGCACGATTGAATCAGACTGAGCCAGAGTGCACAAGTGTGTGTGTGCATGCGTGTGCATTCGGGAGGAGTGTAAGGATTTCTTCTTCCTCAGCCAAGAAAACCACAAACATCTTAGGACACATGCCTAGGGGGACAGGACACCTGGTCTGAATTCAGGCTTTGCATAGATCTGGAGTGACACGTCCCCTCATGACCTCATTTCTCCCTCCACGGGCAGACAGGGCTGGAGGAGGGCAAGGGTCCCCAACCTGAGGCCAAGGGCCTGCGGTCTAGTTCCTTTGTCCTTCCTGCCACCCAGATACCGGGAGCCCTGGGCGACAGGTGCAGCCGCCTGCAGGTGTAGTGTCCTCTCTGCTTGCATAGGAGTCCTGGCTCTTTCCCTTTTCCATCACAGATGTTGTAGAAATTTCTGAATGCTACTTCCTCTCCTTATGACTCTGAAATTATGACAGTCATTAGACCGCTCCGGAGGGCTTGTTATTTAATGCGCTAATAAAGAAGTGCAGGCATTTCTAGGTCACAAATCTGTTTTTAATATTTGATCACTTTCAAAACAATGCCTTTCCTCTGTCATCGCATGTCCTTTATTTCTAGTTTATTATTTTTATTTTTCTATTTCACTTTGTTTTCCTCCTTATTTCATTTTTAAACTTCATTTAACACTTCTTTTTTTATCTTGTTTTATTTTTTTTTGCAGGTGAAACTTTATTCTGAGAAGGGTCTGTGGCAGGCGCTGGTCATGCACACCTGGGCTGCGGCTTTCCAAGGGGCCATTGAGCGTGGAAGTTTTGTGGTGACATCAGTGTCTTTGCAGATTGCTTCCTGGGTGCTTGTGCCAATGGTATTTTTAAACTGAGGTATAATCACATGTTTACGATCTCAAAGTCCCACGTGGAAAGATTGATGAATTTTGACAAATGTGTGTATTCCTTCAAGCGATACTCTAACAAGAGCATCGCCACACCTCCTAAAGTTCCCTTGTGTCACTTGCTGGCCTGCCTTTCCCTCCTGGCCCTAGTGAAAGGCAGCTACTGCTGGTTTGTTTCATCCCGGATGGATTTCCTCCCCGTAAAGCTGCATGTGGATGGAATCACGCTGAATGTCCTTTGTACCTAGCTGATCTCCCTCAGCACACCTGGGAGGCTCATCCAGTGTTGTTCTGGCATCAGTGCTTGGCTCCGTTCAGATGGCTGTATAGTACTCCGGTGCAGTCTCCCTATGGTTTGTGTTCTTATTGTTTTGCCACTGGTGTTGTGCATGGTGTGGGAACCATGATGGCAAGCTGGCAAGCATGGGAGAGTGGACCACAATCTCTCTGAGGTCCCTCAAGATCTGGACAGCCTGTGAGTGTGCCTCAGTTTCCTGGACATGGACACCTGTCAGGTGCGGGCAGATTCATCTGGGTACAACTGGACTCAGGAAACACCCATCTATTACTTTTGTTTGCTGAGTGGTTGGGTTTGATCCTTGACTCTGAAGGAATGAGCTGTGACTGAGAGGGGACAGAAGAAAATAATATACCCAGAAAGAACCTGATCCAGGCAAAAGTAATATATCCAGAGGACCAAGATCCAAGCAATATGGTCATGGCTTTGATGAGGCTCCCAGGGATGCAGTCCATGTTTCCCCTTTTATAGATGAGCCCAGGCTCCCTTCCTGCTAGTGTGTGAATAGCAGTGTAAGCCAAACCTCACAGGCAATGCCCAATACGGCAGCCATCCCCAGATCTCAGAGGCAGGACCCTGAGCTGATGCCGGGGGCCTCAAGGAGGAGGTGATAGAAGCAGAAAGAGAGCTGCTCTCTGTTGACAGAGGCTGGGCAAGGAGAAGATGGAGGGGTGCACGCAGGGTGTTGGGTTAGGGTAGGATGTGGGAAGAGCCCAAGGATGAGGACGCTGGTGGACATCAGACAGGGCAGGCCTCACACTATAAGTGTGAGGAGTGAAGCGGAGTTATCTTTAATGTTGGAGAGAGATAAAAGCTGAGGAATAAAGGCAAATTCCAAGTTCTATCCACTTCAGGCTGCTGTAACAAAGTACCCAGAACTGGGACATGTAGAATGAACAGTTCTGAAGGCGAGAAGATCCAAGTGCAAAGCAACAACATCTGGAGAGGATCTTCGTGCTTCATGGTCCCATGGCAGGAGGAAAAAGAGTGAGAGGGGCTGGACTTACAGCCCATGGATTCATGGATGGTTCATCCATTTACCACCCATTCACTCATCCATCCACCCACCCACCATCCATCCATCCACTCATCCATCCATCCACCCACCCACCATCCATCCATTCATCCATCCACTCATCCATCCATCCATCCACTCACCCACCACCCATCCATCCATCCATCCACCCACCCACCCACCACCCACCACCCATCCATCTCCATCCTTATATCCATGCATCCACCCACCCAACCACTTATTTATCCACTCATCCGTCCATTCACTTACCCACCTGTCTCATGCTCTCTGGGAAACACAGTCCTACCTACATAGGGCAGAACTCTGAGAACGGACCGTAGGGAACACAGGTTTTTAAGTACAGCTATACATTTTGTGTGTGTGGTTTATCAATGCATCCAAGTCTTTTTTGTTCCAGTACTGGGGCTTGAACTCAGTTCCTTAAATTCTTGCTTAGCTGTTTTTGCTCAAAACTGGTGCTGTATCCCTTGAGCCACACCTACACTTCCAGCTTTTTGTTGGTTAATTGGAGATAAGAGTCTCACAGATTTGCCTGCCAGGGCTGGCTTTGAACCATGGTCTTCAGATCTCAACCTCCCGAGTAGCTAGGATTACAGGTGTGTGCCTGGCTTGTATCGAACTTTTACTGCTATTTATGTTCTTTTTCATCTGCTGAACCTGCTTTCACAGTGCAAGTCTTTCATATCTTTTTTGAAAATACTCTTTTCTTTGGATATCGTATGTATTATTTATATCTGATTTTCAATTGCTTGACCTGGTTATTTGGTGTCTGCTGTAATTAGCACTACTGTGGGTAATGTTCTTGTAGAGAAATCTTTTTATGTCTCCTGTTGTTAGAGGACACTTCTTAGAGGGGAAGTGTATCTTTCTGGCTTGTTGTTAGATATTGCTAAATCGACCCCACAGAGAGGGGGCCACGGTGCACTTCCATGAACAGGTTTTGAGCCCCATTTTTCCTGCTCCCTGGTCAAAGCCATAAATAATCTTGTTATTTTTTATTTTCAAAAATAGCTTTATTCAGTGGATAAGAAAAAAAGGAAGAGTACTAGTTTTTTAATTTTTATTTGATTGGTGGGTGTTCAGTGTTTCCCCCAAATTCACATGTTGAACTTCATATACGAATTCCTTTTGGGTGGGGCCTCTGAGAGGGGACCAGGGTCAGCTGAGGTCATGAGGGCGGAGCTTCCTGGTGGCATTCGTGGCTTGTCAGAGGAGACCAGAGAGGGCAATGTACTCTGCCTAGCTTTGCTGTAATACAGAATCAGGCCCTTACTAGATATAGGCGCCAGACTCTTGGATGTCTCAGCCTCTAGTCTATGAGCCAGAAAAATCCTCTCTTCTTTACAATCACCTGGTCTCGGGTACTTTGTTATAGCAACAACAACAACAGAAATGGGCTGCCGTGCTGGAGATGCATGAGAGTTGTTGACAACTTGGAATCTGTGTACTGCACTGCTCACTTGCATCTGTGCTCACTTGCACCTGGTGTCTGCTTACCCGGGCCTTGTCTGGGTGACTCTATGGCTACACTGTCGACCTAGATCACTGGCTCCAGACACGCTCCCGGCCGGAGCTGCAGCCTTGCGGCCTCCACTTGGCCCATCCACCATCCTGGCAACAGCTGCCTGTGTGGCGTGAGCTCTTCCCACTGGCCTTGCCTTCCTCTCCACCCTGAGCTCTCACTTGGCGGAACACTGCCAGGTCCAGGCTGGCTCTGGGCTGCCCTCCCTGGGTGCTTCTGTCCTGTGTTCTTGTGCTGCATCCCTCCACCACCCCCATGGCCTTGCTCCAGGCTCTTGTCCAGAGTCTAGGCCCTGGGCGCCGATCACATCACATCCTTTCCATGCCCGAGGGCCCATCTGCATCCAGGAGGTCCTTGTGTCAGCCCCTCAGCCCCACTGCCAGCCGTGGCTGCTGGTGGCTTGCTGTGCGTTTGCATCTGTGTTTCCAGTGGCCCTGGCTTGCTACCTCTCAGCTGGCCATGGCTTCTCCCATGAGCCTCTCCCTTGGGGCCACGCTCGGTGCCTGATGTGGTTCTGGGGGGGGGGTGCGGCAGGAAGTCCACATGTGAAGGACTGCAGGAACCAGAAGGAGGGGGTGGGGCTTCGTCTTCCCATGGCCTCTGGGCCGGACAGTGGGGAGCAGGTCCCAGCAGCTCCCCTTGGAGGGGAAGCCCTGCCCAGCTCCAGCCCCCGCCCAGCCCAGTCTCCACCTGGCCCAGCCCGGGCCCCAACCCAGTCTCAGCCCAGTCTCAGCCCAGCCCCAGCCCCAGGCCCAGCCCAGCCCAGCCCAGCCCCAGGCCCAACCCAGCCCCAGCCCCAGCCTGGCCCAGCCTGGCCCAGCCTGGCCCAGCCTGGCCCAAGTTTAGCCCCAGCCCCAGCCCAGCCCAGCCCAGCCCAGCCCCAGGCCCAGCCCAGCCCCAGGCCCAGCCCAGCCCCAGCCCAGCCCAGCTCCAGCCACAGGGCCCAGTGCATTCTTCCAGGGTGCCATATTCAGGCTCTGGTCAGAGAAGCCATGGATCTTGCTTTGTGAGACAAGGACAAAGGCCACAGAGCCACCCTCCTGTGGGGCTGTGGTGGTGGCTCAGCGTGTACCCTGTGCCAACCTGCAGGCCCTGTGCCTGGCATGATGAGGTGCCTGGGTCACTTCCCTCCTCAGGGACCCCAGGCCTTGAGGCATCGAAGCAGCTTACCTAGCCAGCTCCTCTTGAACATCAGGTCCACATGCGCAGCAGCTCTGCAGGGCTCAGAGCAGATGATCTCCTGAAAATACTCTCCAGTACAGTGAAACAGTTCAAAGTCCACTGCCCTGTCCCAGGAGATGGGCCTTAGTCTCATCTAGCCATCCGGCAATTATTTGGCACCGTTGATCTCCTGCTGACCGTGAGATTGGCTGTCACGATGTCTTGGCTCAGGACACAGTGGCAGCCTGCGCCCAGGGCGGGGCGGGGTGGGGTGGGGGCGGTGGAGAGGAGCCGGGAGCTACGCTTTAGTACCTCGCAAGGCCCGTTTTTCCTGCTTTCTGCATCGACATTTTTATTTATATTTTTTAAAACCCTGGGCCTCACAGACTGTGCAGCCACCCTGGCCAAGCCCCGTGTTGGGACAGAGACCCCGGAGCATGGAAGCGTGTCTCAGCAGGAGTGAGGGGTGTTCACAGCCAGAGCTGCGTCCGCACTGCCAAGGCTCCATGGGGATAGCCACGTGTGCCAAGGAAACTCTTCCTTTTGGAGGAGGGTGGTGGTGAGCTTTGGCTTCCTACATCTGGGATATTCCCTCCATTGGGTGGGATAAGGCCCAGAGAAGGTCAGTGACCTGCCCAAGGTCACCCAGCTCAGCAGAGTGAGGATCTAGACACAGGTATCCTATATCTTGGGGTCCATGGTCCTTCTTTCTGTTTTCTCTGTCTGCCTTTGAAAGTCCCAGGTGGCTTCCCTGCTTTCTTCATGGCTGCATGATAGACACTTGGCCACTGAACCGGGGTGAGCCTTGGCTTACCTGGTGCCGGTCCACTGGCTAGAGAAGAACATGGGACTGGGGTGCTTCCTGGAAGCAGACGGACTGGGTCAGCTGGCAGCCCGTCCCTCGGCAGCCAAACAATGGTAGCCACGCTCTGTTGCACAGACAGAGACCCTGCCAGGTACAAGGCCACAGAGATGGACACAGTGACCAACAGATGTCTGTTTACTGTGCTGTAAAGCGGCAGAGGCGGCATCGTGCATGGTAGGAGTGTAGCTGAGAGAGTTACTGCCATTTTCGTGCATGCCAGTCCTAGTGGGGTTGAAGTAAGGACCTGGGCTCTGTCCCTTAGTATTTGCACTCAAGGCTGGCACTCTCATCATTTGAGTCACAGCTCCACTTCTGGAATTTTACTTTTGTTGTTGCTTGTGAGGCTTGAACTCAGGGCCTTGGCGCTCGCTGTCCCTGAGCTCTTTGGCTCAAAGCTAGTGCTCTACCACTTCGAGCCATGGCTCCACCTCTAGCTTTTGAGTGGCTGATTGGGGTTTTTCTTTGAACCATGGTCTTCAGATCTCAGCCTTCTGAGTAGTTAGGATTACAGGCATGAACTACCGGTGCCCAGCCTGTTTTTTTACTGGTTAACTAACTGGAGGTAAGAGCACTTTCCCACCCAGGTTAGCTGCATGCCATCTTTGGATCTCAGCCTCCTGAGATCCATTGCTGCCTGTGTAGTGACTGAGTTTTGAGCTGTGGCTTCCTGGTCAGCAAGGTTGGGGTAAGACAGCCTGCCTCCGGAGGTAAGGAGGTGCTTCGTGCCTGGGACCCTCTGTTTCAGCAAGTTATTTCTCAGGAAGTGCCAAGATGGGCCCCTGAATGAACGCCACTCTCTGGCCTGCTCTTAAGATCACCCTGTTTGTATTCGTGGAAGGAGGAGTCAGTTGAGTTATTCCCAATTAACCAACTTCCTTTTTTTTTTCAAGTGTGGGTAATTATGTTTACTCATATTTATTAAAAATACAGTTCTAGTATAAAAGGATCTAGGAAAACCCTAATTATTCATAAAACTCTTGGCCCTTAAATTTAAATCTCTCCCAAGTTCCACCTGATGGTATTGACTTGGATCATTAACCAATGAAGTGTTATTTCAATTTAATGGCATCACCTAGACACCTATGTGGGTGCTCTCGCGATGAGCAATGCCGCCCCATCTGATCTTATTCAAGGCTTGGGACGGGATTTCTGCTTGGTTTATAATTTTATGGCCAATGGTAACACTGAGACTACAACAAACGCACGCAATGAAACGCCGCAGCACGTCAGCCCTTATGAGTTGTCTTCTGAGTGTATCAGCTGCTGCTCAGCGTAGTATTGTCTCTTCTAAGGGCTGTCTACTTGAGTGCTTGTTCTCACTGGAGATTTTACTTAAGAGTGTTGGCAGTTAGAAGTTGGGAAAATGATGAGGAAAGCTCAGTCATTACTTAAGGGAAATAAAATCAGAACCGCACGGAACTGCTCTGAAAACAAAATGTACAAAAATCAGACATAAAATGTGGTTATAACAATTTCCAAAAAGATCACTTCACAGGGTTCCAAAGGAGCATTTCCTCTATTTCCTGCTGCAATATGTAATTTATATATATAAATATATATCTATTTTTTGCAGGTAGCAGTTGAAAATAATATTCAAAATTTTGGATAAAGACGATGGTTGAACAACACTCAATGTACCAAAAAAAATGACTGAATGAAATAGATGAATTGTACGGTGAGTGAATTCCACTTCAGCAGAGCCGTGTGCAAACAAACAAGAAGTAAACAAGCTTCCTCAGAAAACAGAATTTACTCTCTTCTCCTTCCTGTACACATGAACAGAGGGGTCACTAATGGTCCTACCCTGTCTCCTGGCTTTCTGATGAGCCCCTTCCCTGAAGCAAATCAACTGAACTCAGCGGCAGCTGGACCTGTGCTGTCTCCCACGATTGCAGTAGACTGAGGAAGTCTTCCTCCTTTAAGCTGAGTTTTCTCCAGTATGTGGTTACTGTGATAAAAGAGTCCAGAGCTTTCAAGAAGCATCTTCTGATGGCCCAGGTGGGACTCCACCTGCCCTTCTCTCTGCTGTTTTGCATGCGGGACCAATTGGGTTGCTCTTGGCAACTGACCAGAAGGTCTGGTCCACACAGGCTGTGTCATGCTATGGGTTGGGTATGGCGAGTCTGCCAAATGGTTCATGGGGGTGCTGGCTTGGTCCCTGGATGGCGGATCCAGGCATTGAGAGGTGCTTGGCTAGTGAAGATGCTGACTGCCTGGGTCCCTGCGTGGCTTCCTGATCAGAGAGCACTGCTGGGAGGGGTGGGAGGTGGAGCCTGGTGGGAGAAGTAAGATCCTGGGCCGTGGCTTGTCCCACGCTCCTTCTGGTAGGACCCTCTCCCTCCCCTCCTCCCTCTCTCTCCCCTGCTCTTTCCCCCTGCCTCTCCCTGGCCCCCTTCCTAGAAATCATGCTCTTTCTACCACACCTTTCCACTAGGTTGTCCTGCCTTACAGGAATTTATGGAAGCAGCTATCAGTGGGCTCTGAAATGATGAGCCAAAGTAAGTCTTCCGCTTTTATGCTGGTTTTTCTCAGGTATGCTGTCAGGCTTGGGAAACTGGCCAACACAAGGAGGGAGGGGATTTTTCATTCTGTAGAATAACAAGCCCAGAGGTGTGTGTGCACGTGTGTGTATGTGTGTGCACGTGTTTGTGTGTGTGTGTGTGTCTGTGGCTGAATACTGGGAGGAAAGTAACAGCATGCTTCTGGTTCTTTGTGATGCCCTGGGTCCTGCTTGATGTGGGAGCTTCACCCCTGGGTTTGAGCAAGATGATGGCTATCCCAGCATTTACTTTCCCTGGGCTTTTCTTCACCATCTGGTAAGACTCTACCAGGGAGTAAGTCCCAAGGAAGGTCCCAGGGAGGGTCTCCTGGCTTCACAGGTCATTGGCCCAAATTGGATCACCTGTTTTTATCTTTGGGCTGAGCCTCCCTTTTGCTGGCTTAGACCAATCAGGATTTCCCCCTGGAAATGGAGCCACTAGGGCCAGAATGTCAGGGAGAGCAGGCTCTGACTAGAGGGAGAAACCAAGGGAATGGATGCGGGGCCTCGGCCTCCCATTTGGTCTGCTCTCATGCTGCTAGTTTGTTCACGTGCTTTCTGACTCTTTCTGGATGGTGTAAGGTCAAGGACAAGGTCTTGTTTCTGTCTGATTCTTCCTCATCGCACCACATATTGGCTGCAATTCTGTGAGCAAGCTCCTCTTCTTTTTTTCCTTCCTTCCTTCCTTCCTTCCTTCCTTCCTTCCT